TGTCCAAATGAAGTCCTTAGCAATGCATATTTTTGATATATTTACGGTTGGAAATTTACAAAATATCTTCATGGAACATGATCTTTACTTAATATCCTAATGATTTTTGGCATAAAAGAAAAATCAATAATTTTGACCCATACAATGTATTGTTGGCTATTGCTACAACTATACCCCAGCGACTTAAGACTGCTTCTGTGCTCCAGGTTCACATATAAGTATATTTAATATTTTTCTTAAATATGTGTATTTACATATACATAATAAATATACACAGTACACACACATATATTATGTACACAAAAACTTTTATTTTGGAACGCGATTACTCACAAATAATCATTGCTCAGCAAAGATCTCAGATTTTGGATTTTTTGTCATTTTTTATTCATTTTGGTGGAATGTTTTTCCAAGCCTGGTCTGAAACCACCATTATTTTTGTTCATGGAAATTAAAAAACAAAACAAATATTTATGTATGCATGTAAGCATTGAAAGATGTCTTTAATTCAGAAACATTTATTAATTGTTAAACTGTTATATAATAATTTATTTCCTAAATTAATTTACTGCTTTCATTGTGCTTTCTTTGTCTCTTGTTTATTTTTATTTTTTGTCTATTAAAAAACAAACAAACAAACAAACAAACCTCTCAATAAAATCTTCATCAGATTTATGGTAGTGAGAATTGGGTGGGTTAACCTAAAAAACAGGCATCGTTTTGTACCTTGATAGGTTTCCAGATTTAGAAGGAAAGTGAACCGTTTGAAACATTTGACATATGTCAGTCATACACTGCAAATGAGAAATGATGATCCCTCAGCTCTCTTTTATCAGCAGATCTGTAGCATATTCATCATCTACTGCTCATCAGATTATTAATTGACTGTTATATAATAATTTATTTCCTAAATTAATTTACTGCTTTCATTGTGCTTTCTTTGTCTCTTGTTTATTTTTATTTTTTGTCTATTAAAAAACAAACAAACAAACAAACCTCTCAATAAAATCCTCATCAAATTTATGGTAGTGAGAATTGGGTGGGTTAACCTAAAAAACAGGCATCGTTTTGTACCTTGATAGGTTTCCAGATTTAGAAGGAAAGTGAACCGTTTGAAACATTTGACATATGTCAGTCATACACTGCAAATGAGAAATGATGATCCCTCAGCTCTCTTTTATCAGCAGATCTGTAGCATATTCCTCATCTACTGCTCATCAGATAAAACAAACACAACGTGAAGGGAAAAGGACACACGCTCTTCAGAGGAGCTTTCAACGCCATTCAGATGAAATCAATGATGTATGAGCTTTATTCAGTTGAATGTGTGAGCTGTCTGTATTGATTGAACGCTCTGCCTTATTTACCTAATTTGATTTTCAACCACTTTATAACCAAATGCAAAGGTAATGTGAATGATGAAATGTCTTTCAGAACTAAAGGTGCAGTGGTTTGTGGGTAGTTTTGGTTGAGTGTCTCTCTCTCTCGCTCTCTCTACCTCAATTTCTCTCTCATCTACTTTCTCTCTCTACCTTTCTGGGTCAATAATAAATGATAGTATTTTTGGGCAAGGTTTTGAGAGCAAGATAATAATGGGCTTCAGAAATGGTTTTGACATGATTATTGTTAATTGCAGTCATTATTGAAGTGCCACTCACACGTGTCAGTCTAACTGGGCTCTGAAAAGGCACTTTGTGACGAGTCTTTGTTCCTTTGCTCCAGTTTGATTGTTTATTCGGGCCAATATGCATTCAAAGCAGCATTTTACATCTTTTGTTCCAGCTTTTGCATATGCTATACTGACATATGGGGAAGAGAAGACTTCACATCTTACTGTATATGGAGACATGAAGCGGTTGATATTTCTGCCTGCTTAATTAGTGACGTAGCAGGTGACAAAACATTCAAGCTTCTTAAGAACAAAATTATGGCTGTTTCAAAATCTAGTGAGGATTTGAGACAACATAGACATGTTTGAGTCATTGAATTGCTACTTTTAGACATTTTCAACACATCTCAAGTTATGTGTATCTGTGATGGAAATGACATCTTTGGAATAAAATGGTAAACTCAAATTTGTCTTGCTATAATGTTCATTTCATAGGAGTTTATGGCTTGATCGGAAATGACACAAAATCACAACAATAGTGACATTTGGATATTTTTCATCTGAAATGTAACCACAGGCTCTTCACTGCGGTCTTCTTAAGAAACAACTAACTAACTATTGATAAAATGTTTTTATTAGAGGCTAAAGGTATAAATGACTGTGGGACATTTAATTTGTTAAAATTAATTTAAAACATTTTTACACAAATATTGAAATGGTTTATGTTTAATTTCACTCTTTGTTTAGATTATCATAATTTTTTTTTATATGTTTTTTTTTTTCATTTATTTTATTTTCAAAGTTTGTTTTATTTTCACAAAAGCATATGAAAATCATTTTCTGACTGGTCATTTTCTGACTTCCTGACTTTTGTTATGCATATAAATATATATAAATGTCATAAAGTCAGAAAATGACCAGTACCTTTTCTGTTAAATTTACAGATACTTCTTTTAACCCTAAAACACAACCAAATTCAATGCATAATTCACAATACAGGTAAAACCTGTGTAAAATAAATAAATAAATTAATTAATTAATAAAAATAAAAAAAATACTGAAAATTCCTTAATATTAACATACATTGGGCCTTGTTTTTAGGGATTTTTCTTAGATTTTAGGCTGATTAAATAAATTAGAGCATTTTAAGATAATTTATTTTCTAAATAAAGTCCACAGGGCTCTATAATTGAAGAAACATGCAATGCAATACATCAAAATGCGCAATATACATTACACATGTGGAGTGTGATGACTGAAACATGGCCTGTGTAACAGTAAATTTTTATAGCTTTACAGCTCTTTCTCTTTCTCCTTGTTTAGTTGCATTGAAAATGCACTTCGTGCAATTAAAACTGCTTCACAGGTTTATGTAAAATACTCCCAACTTCTCCATATACACAGCTGAATACTATGAATAATGAGCATTGCAGAATTAAAATGCAGGCGTTTTGTGAAGCTGCAGGGGGACGATTTCTCTGTTTCTCCCGCTGTGAGACGAGTGAAGGAAGTTTCTGGAGTTCAGAAATCTGTACATGCCACACTCTAAAACTAAAGTTTTGCTTAACAAAAAGAATTAATGCAACAGTTTGGATCAGTCTTTTTGAGTTATGACCTCTTCTAATGAAAATATGTTCAATTAACAAATTACACTGAATGATAGCAACTAAAAATTTTGAGGAATGAACACATTTTTAAGTTGATTACTCAATAAAATTAATTTGTTACAATTAATTTCAACATAATTCAGTGGTGGCCCTGGAATCTATTTCAGTTCAAATGAATGGGCTAGGATTGTTAAATGTAACAAATAAGAAAGATATTACCTGTCATCGACATTAGTGTACTCATGGTCAGTAATAACCAAAAAACTGTAACATATTGGAAAATGTTGGTATTACAGTTTTTCTTGATTACTAACACACAATTCACAACTCACAACTGTAAACACAATCTCAAAACTTCACACCAACTTATGCAAACTTCAAACTTCCAGGTCAAAGTCAAACATTTTAGTCAAAAACACATTCTATTTTGTCAGACTCAAACTTTGGCCTTTTGACTTTTTAACGCAAAAATTGTCTTTGGCGTGCATATAATACGCAGTTTTCGCATGCATATGATACGCATCTACCCAACAACCCTAATCCTACCCATTGCGTAGCATATACACGCCAAAGTCAATTTTTGCGTATCAATACCACGAGTTTTTGTTTTTATTTGGCGTACTATTTATACGCACTTTATACGCACTATGATACTATGAACTGAGCTGAATGAAGACATCACTGAATTCAATGATGAACTGTCTTTAACTGGAAAATTAGTGTTTACTATTGTCATTTTGCATTATTGACACACTATTTTCCTAATTAATGCTGTTCAGCAAAAAGAGGAACAAAAGCAATGTTTAACAGAACTCATCAAAATAATGTTTGCAACTTAAAAGCTTTAATTAAATCAGTTAGTCAGTTCTTTTCAATTGAACCATGTTGTGTAAAAGATTCTCTGAATGTCTTTCACGAGCGCATGTAACCTGTCAGCGTCTACAGTCTCTGATGCACACTCCCACGAGCAGAAACTGTTTCCAGGTTACAGCGGTTTGTGTTTCTGCTTTATTGAAAATTCCCCCTCACATATATTTGTTCAGACATTGTAAATGGAGAACACCTGGCTTTTGAGATGCTCGCAAACAAACGGTCAATTATTTCCGTCTGCACAGCTGAATCGCTGTCTCGTTGGTTTCAGACGCACAGGCGCGGGAGGCTGTGATCGTAGGGACCCCGACACGCTGCTGTCGCTTCCCATCAGTCCTCCGCTCGGCTCCTGTCACTCAACGCAGTGAACGCAGGCCTCGCATGGACTTTAGGAAAAGTCGCTTTGAAAGACTTTAGCACTGCATTGTCTTACAAAAAAAACTAAGATTTAATTAAAAGCGTCTTGCATGCAAACTCTAGCTGTTAAGAGCTGATAAAACAATCTCCATTCAGACCGTCTCTTCTCCATTCTGAAGAATGGTGAGTGTGTGTGCATGTGTGTGTGTGTGTGTGTGTGTGTGTGTGTGTGAGAGAGAGACAGAATGCACAGCCAGACGTTGTTTGTTCCTCCGTCTGTGCCACTTCCCTCGTACCAGAGATGGTAATTATCCTTTAATGTTTGCCCTTCACGGACCTTCATCTCCCCCAAACCCCAAATATAGGACTGAATCCATAAACACATCACACGGTGCGAGCGGCTGGAGTGCTTCAGATTACATGCTTGTAAAGCCAGAGGACTCATCCACTAACTTTATACTGCTTTCTCTTCCAGTAATAAAAGATTTTACAGACTGCAAAAGGACTTTTTGTGTTTAGAAACAACCGATGTCTGAGTTGATGTTGAGGTTTTTCATATACGTGATTAATGTCTCGTCTGTCTTTTCAGCTCTTTTGCTGCTCTACGATGTGACAAATAAAGCTTCTTTTGACAACATACAGGTAAGGCTCGTGTGCATTTAGAGGTCAATACCCCTTTTGATATTGCAATTTCATTTTAAGAGTTTCTTTGTAATAATAAACCTGTGAAAGTCCTCTTTTATTGAGTGCGCGTCACTGTTCGTTTATCTTAAACAGCAATTTTCATGCATCTTAATGTTTCCCTAAAGACTGAGTCAAGGCTTCTTGCCCCAAAATCAGGCGTAATTTAGTTTTTCATAACCATTTTCCATTTCCATTTTATCTTTAGGAGTATACATAAATATCCTGTAATTACTTGCATATTTTTTCTGTAATTATGCATGAGAAATGCATAACCGTGGGTTGCTGGAGTGCAATATAATTTGCGCTGCATCTTTGCAGCGGCTTGTGTACGTTACTATGTGATTGCAAACATTTCATTGCAATAAGATATGAGAATCAATACAGATTTAATGGATTTCATTTGATTCAAATTCACAGTTCACTTTTGATTTGACTGGAATTTCAGTTGGACTCAGTTTTGATTCATTTGTGCATATTTTTGTTATAATGTCAGTTTTTGTTTACGCATAAATCATTCTCTCTCAACTAACGCTGTAAATTATACAGGGCTGTGTTTCAAACTGAATCATGAGTCATTTGCTTAGTGAAGGTCAGGCTGGATGTTGTTGATTCACTTATGCACTAAGAGCTGGCTCATAAGAGTTATTTGTTCATGAATTGAATCTGACTAGTTACATTGTTTGTTTGTTTTGGCATTGTTTCTTAAACTTGCTTCAAAAGACCAATGAAAATCCTGTTTTATTATAAAGTCATGATAAAATCAACACAGGTTACAGCATAACTAAATTCCTTTGAGAATCTTATTTAGCCTTTACTCCATGAAATCAGACTCTAATTATTACTATTTATAATGCACGTTCCTGATCTTTTCTTTTTTTATTAATCCATGTTACTCAAAACATTACAAATATGAAATAATTTTATGAAAATGGCATATCTTGCTCAGCATCTGAAATTATTTTCCTTTTAGGCTGATGTCATGAATCGCACTTATTTTTTCATCCCCTCTCCTCCAGTTATCTGACTCAGTTTTGAAGAATAAATTCTCGATGGATAAAATAAAAGTTTTGCCCTACATTTTTTTCTTACTTGTATTGTGTTTAAAAATACGTCAGATTATGGTTGTGAATGGCATTTTGTGATGACTTTAAAATCAAGTCAAATTTATTTCTATAGTGCTTTTTACAATACATTATAGAAAAAAAAAAGTAATTGCGAGACATGAATTAATAATTCTATCTTTCTTGCAATTCTGAGTTTACCATTCAGGGTTTGTTTTGTTATTGCTATGAAATGAAAAAAAAAAAGTAATTGCAATTTTTTTCTTGCAGTTCACAAAGTAATTTAATGACATTTTCAGAGTAACTTGCCCAACACTGCTGGCAACCCAGCGCTGGGTAAATATTGGACAGAACACATGCTGGGTTGTTTTATTTAAGTCAACTATTGTTTAAAAATTTATTGAAAAATATTGAAAAAAATTATTGAAAAAATTTTTTAAATGTTGTTTAAAAATTATTATATTGCTGCCTTAAAAATGGTCTGGAAATGTAAAAAAATCACACAGAATTACTAGAGGCAACAGCAATAATCAAAAGATGAATATTTATTATTAAGCAAGAACACATGGACAAAATATATTTTACAAATTGAATTTATTTGGGTGAATACAGCATAGTTTACAATATTACATATATTTAAACTCGTTCAACATGCATTTTAGAAATAAAAAATGTAATATTTAAAAGTGCCATTTTAATTTAAGTGTATTCAACCGTTCTCTGTAATCGCTTTTTACTGAAATAGTGCTAATTCTCGTGCCGGTGTGTCGCCGAAATCTGAGCCAGTGAAGGGCTGCTGTTTGCGGGGGAACTGCAAACTTTAGACCGCGGCCTCACGTTTCACTCGTAGCAGAGAGATAGCGTGACTGACTCCAAAACCTGCCCATAAACAAACAGTACTGAGATTAGAGAACATATTTTATTATCATATTTAAATTATCTTAAACTCAGTATTATTACGAATAAAATCCATTTATGTTATGCAAGGCAAAAGGCATTTCCAGTGCAAAACGACTCTCGTCCTTGTGTTGCGTTGTGTAAAATAATATAATTTATAGCACAGTAAAGACTTTATAAATGAAATAAAATGTATACAAACCCTTATTTTGCTGAAGAAGTGCACCAAATCGATAAGCCCGTACTCTGACTGTAACTCAGCAGCTGCGTTGTTTCATCAGAGACAGGCTCAACCAAGCGGTTGGGTAGAAAAAAATAACACAGCGTTAAAAACGACCCAGCAACTTAGTTACAGAAAAACGTCTCAGGTTATGTATGTAACCCTGGTTCCTCGAGGGAACGAGACGCATGAGTGACTGGCCTTCTTTCACTCTCTTGACTGCAGTGAGAATCGACTTGATCCGAGCAGGAGACAAACGTGCCTGCATCGTGGTCGTTAGTTCGGTGCCTTGAAGCGTCTGCATGCCGACAGGGGACAACCGAACTAGCTGCTCTGGGGACCTCCGCAGAGGCCGCGAGCCTCTCAGTGCCGCTACGTTGCCGGGCGGTAACTGACAGATATGCTCGCTGGAGACCGCTGCGCCCTGGAACACCGGCAGGGGTGGCAGACTGATCTCCTGAGGAAGACGGGCACCGTGTAATGCGGTGTGAACCTCTCTGCCACAGAAGGCCTGCCCTCGCTAGTCCTACACTCAAATAGTCAGGACCTTTTGGTCGAGGACCTCTTAGCCTGAAGGACGGTCCGCAGATCCGGCTTAGGCTTCGAGGCCCCCAATCTGTTTTTGCGTCTCCCTATGTGAGGAGCTGGTACGCGGTGGGGACTGCTGCCGCCCAGCAGCCCCCGGAGCTGAAATACGGCGAGGGAGGAACCGCTGAAACGCCGCCGCTTGTTTACGAGCCTCCTGGTCCCTGTCGACGACTGAATTGACAGCGTCGCCGAACAGGCCAGAAGGCGCAAGCGGGGCGTCGAGGAGGAAGACCCTGTCTTTCTCTTTCATATCAGACAGGGTCAACCACAAATGCCTTCATATTGATCTTATTGTGAGCAATTCATCCATGCATATTTAATTTTTAAGCAAAACAACATTTTTCTGTCATTTAGGCTGCCTAAACCCTGCCAGATATGTACACTCTAAAAAAAAATGCTGGGTTAAAAAGGGACAAACCCACCTATTGGGTTGTTTTGACCCAGCGGTATAATAAGCTGGGTTTGTCCCTTTTTAACCCAGCGCTGGGTTATATTTAACCCAGCATTTTTTAGTGTAAGAAAAGGCCAGACTTTAACCACACTTTCAACTACATGTTTGTTGTGCATCTGTACTGTATGTGTGTTTATTAGACATTGATCAAAACACATGGACTCTCGCAGATGTGCAGTGATTTTAGAGCGAGAACGAGGGGGACAGAAAGTTTTGGGCTAATGATTTGAAAATGAGATGTGAGTTTAATGACTTGAGCATCAAAGAGAGGTATTGAGGCCATCTGTCCTGCAGGTTTACAGCTGTGGGCCCAGTTATTAATACATCATGAAGTATTGCACCATTTATAACCATTAGCCGCGACGCAGGGGGACAGATCTCACCCCGGGCTTTTAAAGATCCTTATTAATATGTGAACATGTAAACAGACAACCCCCTCACACTCCCACACACATTTCTCTCTTATGTGTTCACAGACACATAAACGTGTGAAAAACAAACAAATATCAGATGTTCACATGTGCTGTTCCTCAGACCAAAGGTTGCGGCTCACGCCCACATGCATTTGCATCTCAAGAAGCTTTTGTCTGCTGTCAGACTCATAACCATAAGGGACTTTATGAGTGTGTGTGTGTGTGTGTGTGTGTGTGTAATGCAGCACCTGTTCATTTGCACAGAGGCACTCAAGCCTCAACTCTGCTGCTCAGGTTAATCAGCATAAATTAATGCTAATCACTGTGACGAACCAGGAACAAAAGCCTGAGATACGGAAAGCCAAAGCCTTCACATCACACCGCAAAAAAATCTGCAGGGTTTTTGTTGTGTTGGGAGGTAAAAATACCATTAAAAATGTAATTATTCAAATTATTTTTCTTATCCTGTTGGAAATATTATTATTATTCTTAATAGTAACAATAAATACATTAATAATAATAATAATAATTTATATTATTATTTATAAATATTATTATCATTATTATTATTATTATTATTGTTGTAAAAATAAACAAGACTAAATGCACTTAAATTAATGATATTATTGTTCAAAAGTTGGTATATTGTTTAATGTTTTTGAAAGAAGTCTCTTCTGCTCACCAAGGCTGCATTTATTTGGTGAAAAATGCAGTAAAACTGTTTTGAAATAATATTACAGTTTACTACAAAAAAAGTTTACTACAAAAGCTGAATTTTCAGCATCATTACTGCAGTATATTATTATTTATAAATATTATTATCATTATTATTATTATTATTGTTATAAAAATAAACAAGACTAAATGCACTTAAATTAATGATATTATTGTTCAAAAGTTGGTATATTGTTTAATGTTTTTGAAAGAAGTCCCTTCTGCTCACCAAGGCTGCATTTATTTGGTGAAAAATGCAGTAAAACTGTTTTGAAATAATATTACAGTTTACTACAAAAAAAGTTTACTACAAAAGCTGAATTTTCAGCATCATTACTGCAGTCTTCAGTGTCACATGATCTTCAGAAATCATTCTAATATGCTGATTTGCTGCTCAAGAAACATTTCTGATTATTATCAATGTTGAAAACAGCTGTGCTGCCAAATATTTTTGTGGAAACTGTGATATATTTTATTTTTCAGGATTCTTTGATTAGTAGAAAGTTCAAAAGAACAGCATTTATTTGAAACAGAAATATTTTGTAACATTATAAATGTCTTCACTGTCACTTTTGATCATGCCATGATTTTGCCATCTATAATTCATAATATTA